AACTGGAAGTGTGTGTGTGTGTGTGTGTGTGTGTGTGTGTGTGTGTGTGTGTGTGTGTGTGTGTGTGTGTGTGTGGTTTTTCTGGACCTTACTGTGTAGATAGTCAAAAACTAAGAAACCAACAAGAAATGCATGAAACAGCAATGAATGACTAAAAATATACAACTGCCATATTAAAAAGCAGCATGCTACTTTAACATGAGAGTCAAACATAAAAAGACGTTTTATTTATGATGTAAGCCAACAACACAAATTATGAAAAACTTTCTATTTTTTGAGATATTAACAAAAAATGATATATAAAAAGGGAAACGTATACCTGCATTGCTACTAAGCCAAAAGTTGTGTTACTTTCCCTTTTTTTAATGTTTCTTTTTCTTTTTACTCCTTAGTCTCAGCTCATATTACTTCACACACTATATATAACAAACGCACACAGTTAACTTTGTCTACACACACTTAAAAACCGCTAAAACGTTGTTCGTACTCTGGGCTGCACAGTGCAAATGAAATATAAATCAGTTGTATTAACACTCAGCTCTGCTCTCAGCAATCTAGTTCCACTTTTCAGCTGCTGCAACTTACAAACCCGTGAAATGAACATGAGAGAAGACGTGGGTGTGGGAGCGCGTTGTGGTCAGTGTGTTTATATCTATACTACAAACTTATGTTCACGTGCCATAAAAACCACAGAGGAGCTGATCCTGGTTTCCTGTGGCTCACAGCAGAGGAGAACGGTGACCGTGAAAATATGAAGGCGTGTTTTAGTTGTCCCTGATCTTTGAGTCTATCGCTGCCTTCATCCGACGTTAGGTCGCGTGTGCAAGTGTGAGTGAGGCAGAAAGAGAACCACAACCTGGACCCTTCCTCAGCCAGAGCAGCCAACGTGAACGACACCCTCACATCTCTCTCCACCTCACTCTGCAGTTTCTGGTGTGCAACCCGAGCAGTCGTCTTTTCATAATGACAGGCAGTACTCGTGGTGACTGTCACCGTCTTCGTGATGGGAACATGAAGAGGAGTTGTTTGTCAGGAAGCGGTTCGGGAGAAGTGACAGTTTTTTCCAGTGATGTTCAGCCGTCGAGTACGTGAAAAAAAACGAAGGCGTTCGTTCGGTTTTGGTTTCTCTTCCTTTCGATATCGTTCTTGATGACTATGACTATGATATCCTTGTGTCGCAGTCCTATATTTGATGGTTACGGCCTCTTTAACGAAGGCTTTTGTATTTTAAAAACAACAAACGTGTCATGATACATGGTCGTCGTGTATCACATCGTGATTGTGTTACGTGTCAGTGGGTAGCCACACGACAAGGACTAACAACATCGAGTGAGGAGGATATTTTGTACTTGTGTATTTGTCTGTATTTTGAACTGAAAACTCAAACACGGGATAACCGGCATCCGTGTCTCACACACGTCAGACCTTTATGCTGATCGTGGCGGCGTCACTCCCGCGTGAAACGTGCACGGCCGCACATACATCCACAGCCTGAAATAATAAGAGGAACACGTGAATCTGCATTGCTAATCATCTTTGCCTGCTTCCTGTCAGGCGGCTGACACATTCCTGAGGCTCGAGCGGCCTTCACACACTTTACTTTTACCGACTTCACCTGAAATCCTGCAGCCAGGCTACCTGGATTTCAGAGATTACACGACTTGGTTCAACGGGGTGTCTAAAACACATCAGACTAATAATGTCGTTCTCTCTTATCTCTGTACCGTCAATGAGTTTTGTGTAAGTGCAGAAAAAACAACACAAAACCAAAATACACAAAAAAAATTACAAAAAAACTCTGATTCTGCTGACAGGGTGTTTTGTTAGAAGGTTTTTGGTTTCTATGTTTTCAGTTTTTATATTAACTGTACAGTTCAATCTTGGGTGAAAGGTGAAACAAAAAAATAAAAAATAAAATATATTCTTGGGATATTTTCTCGTATATGTTGTACCTGTTACTGCTGGTACTGTATCTGGTATTCTGGCTCTGTCAAAATCACAGGAACTATGTAGTTCTTCACACTGTAGTATGTTAAAGAGGCATTCACTTGGTTTTCTCAACGATGGCAGCAACGTTTGTCTTATTTAAATGGATTCTACCACTTTTTGTTCTTCTTGATATTATACTAGTGTAATAGAAATTACTTGACAAAAAATGATCTGAAAATATGT